CAGATATAAAACAAAGTCTGGAGTACACATGGGACAAGCCTCATCCCCGAGAAATGTCCGGTTCCCGAGGGATACCTAGCTTTTTGTAATTAATATAGTTTGTATATTTTCGAATACCACGCGGACGAAGTCACGGGCAACAGCTCGTATATCATAAGGGCAAAATAACTTTCAAAATATGATCCCATTTTCGTATTTAAATAATTCCTCAATTTATAATATACAATCAACAGATGGCGTTTAACACGTGTGTGCAGTCGCGATACGTTGTCAATTCAATTTACTTTCTTACACTAGTCGAAGTCTTTTGTTCGTTTTCTCCCTTGTTCAAATCGATTTATCTCCTCAACTATTCAAGCTGAAGGAACAAAACTGATTTGATTTATTGGAAATTCCAATAGTCTTTATGCTTCAAGCTTTCCTTGGTCTTTGAGAATTGCGACCGGTCGGAGAGACGATTGATGTAAAACCGAATTCGAAAACATTTCTGCTTTTATATTACCCAAACCACATACGAGTAAGATCATCGTCTCAAGAACATATCAACAAACATCAATTGTGTATTCAATTCATAGATTCAAGAGTTCTTTTCATTCAACTTCGTATTACTAAAATAATTGAATAGACCACTGATGGAAAGACCAAATGCCCGAAACGGTATCCACAGACAGATTGTCGCATACACCACCTAAATGATGACTTGGTCGTTTGTCTTTTGTTTCTATTCCACTTTTAATATCTGAAACTTGGTATAAGCGGTCTTTAATAAATTTAATACTACAGAAACATTGTCGCTAGCTTAGAATTGCGAACTGTAGGCCGCAGGCTACTCTATTACGTGGCTAACGAACCTACATTTTTATTTCATGTCTCGTTAGTGATTTCATTGTTTTATCCCAAAAATATTTCAATTAATCTTTTCGTTATTTGCTAATTATGTGGCTGTTAAGGCTCCAGTTTATTAGGGTTTTTATTTTCATTAATTAATGACTTAGTAAAGCAGATTTATTCGTGGTATGCTTATTTTTTTTACTTTTTTTAATACAGGTGTTCTAATTGACTTCATATCAGTCCCGGTGACTGTAGGTTTCACCTCAGCGACTTCCGTAATCATCGCAGTTTCACAATTTAAAGGGCTTTTGGGTTTGCAATTTAAATCTAGAGGATTTATCGATACCGTGAAAAAGGTGAGTTTGCGAGCACTATTCATATAAGTAGAAACGAATAACTTTTTGAACATTTAATTGGTAGCGTCCAATCATTATAACTTTATTATTGCCTGAATTAAAACTTGGCCAAAGTATATCATAATTACGTATTTTTAAAATAATTATATTTTCTATTGCATTTGTAATCAATTTATATAACCATATTAAATTATACTAACAATAATTTTCATTATTGCTGTAAAACAAATTATGAAATTATTAATAACTGTAAATACTTCCTCTTGGAGCAAAATAACTAGTGTTTCAACACTCGACAATATTTAAAATAATCGTAAAATGATTGTATATTTAAAATTATTCCACTTAGGTTATTGTGAACATACCAAACGCAAGATTGGCAGATACCGCGTTGGGCATATCTTGTATAATCATCCTTCTTGTTATGCGGGTAAGTTTAATCTTATTACTAAGATAATCAAAGTAAGTAGCTTTGTTCATCCATACAATGCTCTACATCTATGTCAAATGTCATTGAAATCCGTTCAGCCATTTAGGCAGCAAACTAACAAACATCTATTCAACTAAAATTTTTCATTTATAAATTGTTTACTAATCTGTACAAAGAGACGCCCTTAGTGATAACTTAGAGACTTGTGCCCACAATATTTTTTACGGTTTACATCTAGTCAATTTTTTATTGATGGTAATTGTACGATTCTCCCCCGTTAAAGTTAGGCTCGTTATCCATCAAAGTGGTTGTAGAAAATCTGTAATAAATAACCGATACGATTTCATTATTTTTCCAAAGATCCTTTTCGTTCGGCTCTAGTGCACACGATTCAGCGGAAAGAGATCGTAAGATAAAGAAGTACTATTTGTTTATTTATTACATTGCTATTTCTTTTCTTTGATTATCTTCCTATTTTATACTAGCTGTTGCACGCGACTACGTTCGCGTGAAATTTAAAAAAATAATAAAAACAGCCTATGTTACTAACAGATATATTATCTTTATTACACTTACAGATATACTCGTATTGTGTAAGTTTGGATGGATGGTTTGAAGTCTTTGTGGCATAAACTGCTTAACGGTTCTCTATGAAAATTGGGTTAAACGTAGATAGTCTGTAAAAATACCTACACGTTTTTCATTAATTTAACTATTGTTTTAGCTAAAACCAACCAAATTGCTTTTAAGTTTCTTAAGAGTATTGTTTTTATTTCAGAAAATGAAGGATATAAATTTACCCTCAAATCAGAAAGGAATTAAAAAAACTTTATGGTTACTCTCAACATCTAGGAACGCTATTATTGTATTGCTTTGCTCTTTAATGGCATTCTTTTTTGATCGATACTCAGAGTCGCCTTTTAAACTAACCGGCACTGTCAAGTAAGTTACATTTAATTTTATTTTTAAAATAATAATGTCCTTTTAATTCTAAGTTACATAGGTAAAAAAAAACATGATCTTTTTGTTTACTCGTCTGTCAATAACTATGCATAGTTTCCAAGCTAACATTTTCTCAAAACTTTTATTCCTTTGTGAGTACATAATGTGATTTTCCTCAGAGTTTATTAAATAACGTCGCTTGCAAACTTCCGATATTCGTAATGCACTTTCATTTTAGAGAAGGTCTGCCCGCGCTGGGCTTGCCGCCTCTCAGCACGGGCTACGGAGGGAGGAATGTCACATTTATCGAAATGTGCTCAGATCTTGGCTCTTCGATTGTTTTGGTGCCAATTATAGGAGTACTAGGCAATGTTGCTATCGCTAAAGCTTTCGGTAAGTTTGTTTTTAAATTTATTAACATTGGTTATTTCACTTATAGAAATAGACTTTTGCTCTCAATTCCTCCCGTGTGAAATTAAAAAAATATATATATAAAAAATGTAGCCTATATTACTCATTGATAACGTAGCTTTTTAATGGTGAAAGAATTTTTGAAATCGGCCTGGTAGTTTTTGAGTTATTTCAAGACATACAAAAATACTAATATTTCCTCTTTATAATATTAGTATAGATATTTTAGATTTTTGCATATTATGCCCTCTATTAATTACTAAACTTATTGATCAGGTGATGATGAAATTTTACTTTATGTTTTTTTATTAATCATCATCATCATCAGCGTTTATCTGCCCACTGTTGTACATTTATTTTAATCAATACTATAACGAAAATATTTATTTAAAACGCATACAATTCTTTCAATTATCGCACCGAACGTAAACTTCAATTACCGAAACATTACGGATAACGGAGTAATAAATTGAAAGGCATCAATTAAAAAATCAATTATCTTTATCTGTTCTTATTATTTGCGCGAGCAGCGTTAAGAAATAAAATAAATCGACGTAGAAATATTTTAAACAAAATTGTGATAATAAGATTGAAAATTGTGATGAATCTCACGACAATCTTATATTATTATGTTAAAGTAATTTTTCTGAATCTTACTAATATTATAAATGCGAAAGTTTAGATGAATGGATATTTGTTAGAGTTTGTAGCCTAAACTGCTGAACGGATTTCGATGAAATTTGGCACAGATGTAGAGTATAGCAAGGAAGAACACAATTTAATTCCACAGGGACGGAGTCGCGGGCGAAATCTATATAATGTAAAAAATAAAAAGTGACAGTGACATAAAGAAACGTAAAAAAATATATTGAGGTATTTCATTACGTTTCTTTTAATATTTAAATCGGCTCCAATACTTATTATTTGACCACTCTGTTTATTATTTACTCTTTGTTTACTACCTATAAATTTGTCTATGTAACTCTAAAGGGCGTAGTATCTCGTTGTATAAAAGCGTAGAGATAACTTAGTTTGGAAGACAATAGAACGGGTACAGGTCGTATGGGTAACATTTAATAGCCCTAATATCGTTACCGCGACCGCTCTAACATCAGTATTCGACCGGTGTGCGACCTATAGCGATTAGATTCTTATTTTCAAATTGAGTTTTTTGTAATCTACCTCTATTAAACCCAACAGATATTACTGGCCATTTTGGTTTTTGTCAATTTTTGCATAATATGATTGTAAAAAAAAACTACTACTATTCTATAATCGGTTTCATATATGTTTGATAATTTTTACTCGATGGAAGGAGAAGTAATGTTCTTGTATTTTTATTGCGATATCTTTATAGTTTCAATAGGTTTAAAAAAATGACAAACGTATTATCCTGTTGATATTAATAATGTTTAATACAGGCAGTTGTTTATTACTTTTATTGGCTTAACTCTTAAAAGCTAGATTTTTAAATAATAATAAAAATATATAAGTGTACCTTTTACTCTGTTTACTAGTAGGGAAAATGGTATAACATGTAAACATGGTGGTATAACATGTGGTAACATGGTGGTATAACATGTAAACAGCCTGATAGTTAAAAAAATTGATTGTAGATGCCCAATGCAATTTTTAACCCCGATATTAAAAAAAAACTTTAGGTGTTTAACGCTTAAAAAGCTTTAAATTAACCATATAATATTCCTAGTAATTATAATTACTTGTGCAGCGAGTGGGGAATCTGTGGACGCTACACAGGAGTTACTAACTCTGTCATTAGCCAATATCTTTGGTTCATTCGTCAGCGCGATGCCGATCACGGGCTCATTCTCCCGTAGCGCGGTGAACCACGCCAGCGGCGTCGCTACGCAATTTGGAGGCATTTATACGGGTAAGTACACACATATTACGGCCCCGTGTATTTAGCGTCTTTGGTAATTGGACGTGATATCAACAATTTTGTTTCCTTCAAATTATATTCTTTTAAATTGAAAACTGCTATAGTTTAATTAATTCTATCATCTACCTCCTTATCTTATTCCCGTAGTGGCGCAACAGGTTTTTGGCCTCCATATAACTATCATACGTCATCACAGTCATCACTTCCTTTTTGATCATGTCACCTTTCACGCAATCCATACATTTCTTTCTAGATCTACCTTTACCGGTGTACAACACTCATAACTAAGATTCTCCTTGTTACATGCGATTTATCCCTTCTCAGTTTAATTGATACATTAATGTTGTTTTAGCTTTCATTATTTTTTTTGTTAAGAATAAAATCGTGCAACACTAGAACATATACGTCCCATCCCTATGACAGCGCGCCATTCTGGCGTTTAATCTGAGTGTTAAATTTTATTTACGTTGTTATAATATTGTCCTTTCACTTTGCAGGTATCTTAGTATTACTAGCTCTTAGTCTATTGACGCCTTACTTCTATTTCATACCGAAGGCATCTCTTGCAGCTGTCGTTATATGCGCAGTCATATTTATGATAGAATATGAGGTAAGATTTTTTTTTAGTATTTCGTTAACATGAATTAAGATAAATTTAATACTAACAGTCTTATAAGTAAACAAACTTTTCTTATACTCAATTTATTCCTTAGTATATCTTTATACCGCGTTTATTTATAAGGCTGCAGGAGTTTTAGATTAGTGTATTGCGTAAACTACCAAGGGGTTCATATCTTAACGTTTAAAGATAACGGTACAAATTCATCTGAACATACTTTTATTAAAAGTAATTACGGTTGCCCTATGTTTTTATCTCTCACAAGGTTATCGTACTTGTCTGAAAACATATAATATTTAAACCAAAAGATTTATGTATTTGATTAACTAATGAACTGATTTCAACAATACTTTCTTAGATTATATTTTTATTACAATATTCAAATATTATGAATGTATTATGTTAATGCAAGGTTTCAATGAGTTGAAACGGCAATTTTCCTTTAAGTTCGATATTGATTGATACGGATTATTCTGAAACTATAGAAATCAGGTGAATGTGCTTTTAATGAATTATAAATGACTTATCTTTCGATTCTCACAAAATGACCTTCGATTAAATAAAATTTATTTATTTATGTAAACGATTAATTGCAATATCAGTTGAGATAAACCGTTAATTAATTTTTAATGAACATAAGCAAAAAATCAATTAACTTAATAAAAGTTATACCTTAATCTATATTGAACGTAAAACAGATGTAGACGCCAATTTTAAGCATGATCACAGTTTAATTTATATTTACAATATACTATGGAGTATAATAAATTAGTCACTAGATTACTAATTATACAATGTATATCATATATTTTTTTTTAAATATTAGGAGTTTTTTGTTAATTTACTAATATTTCCTTTAACCACTTCAACAATACTCGAATGGCGAGATTTGAAACCTCGACCGCATATCAGTAGTAACCTAAACCATTAGGCTATTGGAAATTGAAGTTATCTTTGTTATTACAGGTTGTGAAGCCGATGTGGCGATCACGTCGTGCGGACTTGATGCCCGCGTTCGCGACGTTCGCGATCTGTTTAGTTGTTGGCGTAGAGCTCGGTATCGTCGCCGGAGTTGTGCTCAATGTGGTACTCTTACTGTACCCGAGCGCCAGACCGCAGTTAGAAGCAGAGATTGTTACTGTGAGTATTAAAATAGAGTAAACTATTTATTCTGTATCAGATAGGGGTATATACTAATGTATTACGGTGTTAATGGAATCCCCTGTATAACACGTTTTTCAGACCAGAACTTTGAATCGCGGTATGCACCCCGCATTGAAATTTTGTTGGTAATTTTCGTGTTATAGGGAATAATAGCGTTATAAAGGGGTACGGTATACTCTTTATACAATGGTTTACTGTACTGTCTGTGTTCTAGTACAGGTGGCCTAGAATACTCTAATGGTACTTCTTGCTATGTGCTACTGACGCTATATAAACACTCCTATCACTGCTTGCGGCCATCTTGGGGGTTTTATTCTGTGCAAACCCGACAATTTCTTTTCCCAGTGAGATAAGTCTGCTTGAGCATTCCCCCACGTTAAAAATATAACAGAAAAACCAATGTAACAACCACAACATATTGTTGAGATTTCCAAAAGTATATCAGCCTTATAAATAAACCTGAGTGTAACCAAATATTAGCACCAATTTTGCTTATACTCATTTATTCCTAAGTTTAACTTTAAACCGCGTTTATTGGTAAGGCTGTATTATACAAGCTGTTTCCCGCGACTCCATACACGCGGCATTAAAAAACATTAATTGTTCTTCTAGACTATGGCTATCTATGCCCAATTTCAGCGAGCTCCGTTAATCCGTTCTATAAATATTTAGTAACAATCCATCTAAACTTTAGTAAGAATTCTACAATTTTAACAGTTAGAATATGTCGAAAATGCTTGTTAATCATGATGTAATATATTGATGTCATTGATCTTGACCTTTTATTTTGCTTTCCCTAATACGATTAGATTAGATACAGACCACCTATGTATGTTAACATAGATTGTAGATGTGACGGTACTCGATACTACACTTGTATTAATTCTTATCAAAGCTTATTTTTATCGTTTACACTCATCATATTTTATATGGAACATAAAATATAATGATGTAAATAGTTACTCGAATTATTCCTATTGAGGGTCCATCACGAATATTTTACGAGTCAGATTTAGACATTTGCTAGTGTACTTTACACCCGATAGGGGGCGCTGCATACATCGATGACGTTATAAAAACTTTCTCACGAATATTTATTTTAATTATATAAAACGATGGATTAAATCGACACATGATTATTCCAGTTTATATAAACAAATCAAGTCGTAATAAAATAAACTGATATGAGAATGCACTTGACCCAGTATTCGCCTTTCGTTTGAGATACTAAAAATAAATCTGAATGTTCCGCATATTTTAATTCTATGTTTAAATACTACAAACTTAAATTAATAATGGTTTTCACGTAATGTAAACCAACCAACAACCACAACCAACATAACCAAATAATGCAATGAATCCTAATGAATCTTACTGCCACCAAAGTTAAAAGTTATTGCAGTCCCTTAGGACCAGGTCTTGGAACTTTGGTGGCAACCACTTTGGTGCAATGTTATTTAGTTTTAGTTTATAACAAATAAATTTTCTGTCTGCCCTTACTGTACAAATGTATAACACTTAATCCATCTACAATACAATTTGTTTATTTTAAATAACCTCTCAGCACATGTGCTGGTCTTCCGTGGTAATCCAATTTAAATGGAAAACACTATTTATGTTATAATTTAATTAAATTTATGTTTTATTTATTACGGACTTATAAAAATTAACTGTTTTAAAGTAAGTTCGTCTAAGTAATTTCTAAAGGACTTCCATAATATATTTAACAACGTATTGTTAAAAAGAAAATCAGCAAAACGTTGTAGGATTGGCGCAACACTAGATTCGTGACATATATGTCCCATCCCTACGATAGCTATCAATGTCATTTAGACGTATAAGAATAGCGCACCTTGCTGGCGGCAGTGGCCTGAGTGTTTAAATACGTTGTTACAATTATATATTTTTTTATAAATTAGTAGGTGGCAAACGAGCAAGTGATCACCTAAATCTGCCGAAATGACGAAAAGAGCGGTGCCCATAGATATCTGCAATTTCAAATGCGTTGCCCTACCCTTAATCGACGGAGGAGTAGACGCACATGAAGATAAAATTTCCCCTTCCCATGCGTCTCCTCCGCCGTCAAATCCACTTTTCCTTCCCATCCTTTCCTCTTACGAAAAGGGTGGTAAGAAAAAGGGAACAAAATCAGGCCTCCGGCACAACACTCATTAGACTATACGCGGTATTGCTTCCACTTGACGCCTGTCTTCTGTATGGTTGTGATATTACACCGGGCGAGCCGACCCAACAGTGCGAAGATGTTAAAGCGGGCTTTACCACTGTTAAATTATATTAATGTCTTTCATTGTTCTGTATTGTTTTATTGTATTTTGCAGACATCTTCTGGTTTTAATTACTTGCTGGTGACGGTTGGCAATAGCCTGTACTTCCCAAGCGTGGAGTACATCCGGCAGTACGTGTCGCGCGCCGCGCAGAAGCAGGCCGCCTGCAGCATGCCCGTTGTTATCGACTGCAGATATGTACTAGGTAATAAATACTCATTTATTAATAACTAGCTCTTGCCTGCGACGTCGCCTCCTTTAAATAAAAAAACAAAAGTGAGTGGTCTTTGTGTTCTTCCAGACTCCTCTACATCTATACCAAATTTCATCGAAATCCGTTCAGCTGTTTACGCTATAAACTCTAACAAACATCCGTTTATCCATCCATCCATCTAAGCTTTCACATTTATAATATTAGTATGACTATGTTGCGACTTCGTGTAATTGAAATTTAAAAATATAATGAAAGGACGATTTTACTTTGACAATTTTTAATAGCGATTCATTCTAAGTAAATACCCTTAAAAAGTGAGTTCTCTATACATATTAGGTTAGTTACTGGAAATTAAAACTGCCTACGTTAAAATACATTTTAAACATTTGTGAACGGACCATTTGGAATAATATAAACTTGTTTGATAGTTTTTAATATAATAATGAATTCCAGGCGCAGATTTCACAGCGGCTAAGGGTCTGTGCGCGCTGTCCAGCTCGCTGTCTTCCCGCGGCCAGCCGCTGGTGCTGCTGTCGCCGCGCGCCAGCGTCGCTGCTGTCTTCAGCGGCGCCGGCTCCAGCGTGCTTGTGGTGCTCACACCTAATGAACTGGATTCTACGTTACAAGGTATTACATGTGGCTTCTGTTAAAATAATATTAAAAAATGGGACCCTATCTAATTTCAGATTAAAAATGAATTATCAAAAGTCCACTAGATATATGCAGTAACACTTAAAAATACAGACGATTTTTATATTATTTTGGGAAATCGGTTACTAAATGAAGTTGACACTCTCATTTCTTACTACTCTATCTAATCCCATATTATGTTATCAAATATAATTTTATTATAAAGAATTCTAATTCGATTTGTATACTACATGATATCTGACATTATTTATCCGATATTACTAAAGATATTGTTATATCAAATAATAATAATGTGCTAAGATGTATTGCATCATAATAGTCGAATCGTGGGATTCAAAGTGACAACAACGCTATGGAGTTGTCATAGATTATAGATTCGATAGCTTTCATTCTCAAACTAGCTTTCGCCCGCGACTCCTTCCGCGTTTAACAAAAAAAGTTCAAAAGTTCCAAAGTTCCAAAATTTCATTGAAATTCGTTCAGCCGTTTAGGCTATAAATTCTAACAAACACCCATCCATCTAAACTTTCGCATTTATAATAGTATGTTTAATTTATTACTAATCCTAAATTTAGTGTTAAACACGAAACAGGTGTATCCTGTTATTTAATATCATTTTTTTTTATCAAATTGTTAATAAAAGTTGTAAAGTCATTTCCTTTAATACCATAATAAAAAGATAAATATTTCATCATGATTTTATCAGTCGTATCTTATTTTGCCCTCCACGAATTTATTTGTTAAACTAACGAATATCAGTAAGGTATAAGTCCCAATAAAAGTTAGTTTGATAAGATAAGGAATTGCTTATGAAATGCAATATAAAAAAATAGGCCACAGAGTATACTATGTTCATATAAAAGTGGGCTTAATATGTATTATGAACATAACATTATTTTTATTTTTAACTAGCTGTTCCCGTGCGACTTCATTCGCATAAAATTATGAAAATTCCATTTTATAGGTTACATATATCGAATTATCAATTGCAAATGTCAAAATGACATGTTGACAAACCATGGCAACCTTGCTTTCTTGATGTTGGCAGCATGTAGTTTATGGTCCCTTTCCTACTACATGCAGTTTTTTTTTCTCAATTTATTTATCCCCCAAATTTAATAGCGTAAAAATATATAGCCTAAAACATGGCGTAAGTGTAGGGCATTTCATTATAGAAAGAATTATTCAAAAATATACTGTGATTGCTGACATCCTTCGCCACATATAAGTGTGTGTTTACGCTTTATTATATTAGTATAGATTTTTAGTAATTTGACATTACAAAGCTACAATATCCTAGACTTAAGGTAGAATTCGTATTGAAAAATTTTTAAAGAGTTTTTTAAACCAACAATTCGTTTTTTTTTTACATTTTTTTAATATTAGTAGATTTTTGGTAATTTACTCATATTTCCTTTAACCATTCCAACTAAGATCTAGGCTTGTGCTGATATGGTTCCCGACAATAGTCGAATGGCGGGATTCGAACCCTTGACCGTACCCCAAACCATTAGGCTATTGAAGCTTGTAGTAGTCATGTTTTTGGATACGGTATAAATTAGTTCGGTTATTTTATTTTTATTAGTATTTTCACACTGGACACTAATATGTGTTATAGGTTTATGTACATGAATACGGGATTTACCGCTAGTTTTTTTCAGATTTGACAGGTCACATAGCGCTACCAATAATTGATAAAGAGAACGTGTCGCCGCCGCCCGCGTACCACTCCTTACAGACTGTAGAGGTCGTCATAGGAGACGAACACAATACTACACCATTATTAAAAAACACAACTGAAAATAGGAAAAATAATACAGAAGTCAACGATACTTGACTTAATTCTTTATATTAGTTTAAACAATTTACGACCAAATATTGAAACGATTTTAAATGTAAGTCGTCGTGTTGAAACGCTAAAAATTTTAAACCTGCAAAATGTTTGAAATTCCTTTCAGTATTTGGCCGTTAGAATATTAATAAATAGTGTGTAAAATAATTTTTAGTTTTAAGAACACTCGCACGATTAATTATAGTTAGGTATATTAATTAATAATTTATTTAACAAATTATTGTTAAGAATACCAATTTTTATGAAGTAATGATTTTATAACTTATCTTTATTCCAATAAGAAGATTCCAAAACAGTAGGCGCTTAATATTTCAAATAACCTTCTTCGATCACTTGAGTGACTGAATTTATTATTATTTTAACTTACTCATAATAAGTAGTCTAAAGGACTATTAAAATGTTTTCGCTTATAAAAAAATAACCGTCTTAATAATCCTCTTTCCAACCTATAGAGTAACTATTTATATGTAATTCCTCAAAGGCTATTTTACAGTTTTACCAAAGACATTGCTTATCTGATAACTGAATACTGAATTTACAATTTTATACACAATGTAAACCTATCCTATATACTAAGTTGGACACCTCGTAGATTAATTTGTGACTTTAAAATAAATGTATGACTCCTAGTGATTTATTGTTAGAAAGTGCAATAAACTTTTACAAAATAAAAGCTTGCATACTTCGAAATTTTTTTTATTTATTCTCTTCCTTGTTTTATATACAAAACGGTAGCAAACGAGCAAGTGGCCATCTAAATCCGCCAAAATAGCGAAGCGACCGCTGCATATAGAAATCCGCAATTGCAGATGCGTTGCCTACCCTTACCCGACGGAGGAGACGCACATAAAGAGGATATTGCCCCTTCCTATGCATCTCCTCCACCGTCAAATCCACTTTCCAGTCCATCTTTCTCTTAAAGAAAAAGGTGGGACGGGTAAGGGACTAAAATTATGCCTCCAGCACCACACTCATCAGACGAAACGCGGAATTGCTTCCACTTCACGCCTGTCTTCTATGTGGTCGTGGTATTAGACCGGGCGAGCCGTCCCATTCGTGTGAAGATGTTAAAGCGGTCACTACCACTGTAAAAGTTCCTTTCCATGTTCCTTTCCATAAATAGTTGTGGTTAAAATAAAGAACGATATTATTGTATTTTTTTATTTATATTCGTATTGTAAATGTAGAATAAATAAGATTAAATATTAAAATATAACTTACGTTTATCTTAGCACCAAAAATTATAATTATAAATGCATTCTGTTGACTATATTATAATGAGTATCGAAAAATTGCGAACCCTTAAAATACTTGAAAACGACCACAAACAACAATCATTTTGTAGCGTATAATGAAACGTCTTTTTTCAATTATCAATTTGAATGTAAACCAGTTCGAAACTTCCCATGTAATTATAACGTAAAATTATTTTTCAAAATACCATTACCACATTTACGTTATTGTCGAACTAGTTTACAATTTTTAGATTTTCAATAATTTTCCAGTCTTCGTATAGTCTTTGAAAATTCATAAACAAAACAGATCATTTAATGGTAAAACATAGGTTTGGAAGCTGACATCAATTTCTCTGACACAACATGGGCTATGCGAGCACTTCGCTGCCAGACCAGTTCTCGGGTACGTTCGTGGTTGCTGTCCACTCGAACCTGAATAAAAAAAACAGTTTTATAATTACAGTTAAAATTAAAAACAATGGAGAAAAAATGTATTAAAAACCACAGATAAGCATTGTTATTTTTATGAATTTATCATAAAGTAAAAAAAAGAAATGATTAAAAAGTAGATTGTAAACGGTAGAACGAATTGCCACAAAGAAAATAAGAAAAACAAAAGATGTTCATGAGTGTATTTCTTAAAATGAGATCAAATAAAAAAAAATGAACACATACCTGTTTAGGCTGTAATACTTTTATCGAATGCAATGTAGCAACACCTTGGTTGTTTACTCTCAATGTTATTTTCCCCGTCATTTCCGCTGTGGTGGCAGTTGCTGATTTGATTTCTTTCTTAGCTCCACGTCCAATCTGAAAATTAAATCTCACTTTATTACCTGTCTGTTAATGGACACAGACAAAATTAAATCATAGATATTTAAATACCTCTTTCTCCACTCTTAGAACAAGAGGTCCAACAGCAAAGTTACTCTTTACAGTAGTGTGATCTGATAAAATGTTGACAGCCACGTCGCCATTTCTCCTCAATGAAGACAATCCATACAAAGTACCCTTAGCTCTTGGCTTGCTTTTCTCACTCGTTTTGGTTTTATTCTTATTAACTGGTTTCTTTGTAGTTGTTTTTACAGGAGGCTTTGGCTTCGGTTTAGTTGCTTTAGTAGGAGGCTTAGGTCTTGTTGTAGTAGGCTTAGCTTTTCCATTTGGAGTAACAGATTTGTCTTTCAAAACTCTTGTTTCGGTTTGTTCTTCGGTTTTCTTTACGTCTACAATCTTGGAATCAATCAATGGTGCATCGTTTATTTCATTCGTTTTTGTAAGACCTTCAACTGTTTTATTTTCAGTCACAGCGGTGTTTCCAGCACGTTTAGTTTGCTTCTTCTTGGTGCTAGATTTTCTAGAAATTAAAAACGTTAAATGAAAAATTAATTCAAATAATACTGAGATTACAATAGTTCGATATCTAAGTCCTAACCCACTATGTGACATTAAATCTGCTAAAGATGGTTAAAAAAATTTAGCTATCATAGTAAAGCAATATAGTGGTTTATATCAGAATTAAAATATTTTGATACACGACAAACATAAAAGACTTACTTCTTGGACTTAGTCTTGTCCTTCTTTGGTTTAGAATTCTTCTTCTTAGCATCAATAGGTTGAAGTTTAACATTAACTGGGTCGTATGATCGTCTGAGGATGTCGTTCATTTTCTCAAGGATATTATCAACGAATCTGTTGTATTTAACAATGTACGCCGCTGGTACAGTTGGTTTTTTCTCTGGTTCCTCTTTCAGTGCACCTAAAATTTTCAATTGTGTGATTTAACTAGGTAAATCATAACTATATTCTTTGGCAACAACAGTGGGATTACGAAGCAATTATAATTTGAAAATGGTATACCATGGAAGTTTGCTTTTATTAGGTGTATGTTTGCCGTTATTAGCTTTCAAATTGTTTAAGTATTATGTTGTATGCTACGAAAATTAAACGCTATGTTATAAGCTACACACATCCAGTAACCGAGAAATGGACGTGACTAAAATTCTTAAAATTTGCTTCTTAAAATGTGAATTTTTCTTGATCATGGTAATATAAAATTCAAAGCTTCGATTTCTATATATACCTTTTTTGTTTTGTTTTGTGGAATATACGAAAAATTTACAACTTTTTTTAATCTAAAACCAATGAATACAGAATTGATTTCCACTTCCAAGTATTGTTTTTAGGACAGGATCTGTATTCTGCTCAACCGTTTTACCGAAAGTCTTACAATTTACTCATTAAGTAAAGATAAGATTTTTGTTAATTTATTTTCGCATATTGAATAAAACTAAACAAAGGGTATAGACAACACACAACTATCGAGACAGTAAAGTTTCTATCCGCTTCAGTAGAAAGCTAATGAATATTAATTTTCTCTATGTATTTTATTCTGTGGCCAATTTGTTTTGCGATCACATCTCGTGTCGTGCCAGCGCGCTCGCACGCTATAATTCATACTCGCTGTATGTCACTCGTTAATTAAGCATTCAGCTGACAGATAATTCATACTACATATACAAATAATTCGAAGCACGTTCTAAAGGCACGCGAACGAGTAACTGTTCCAGTCTCGTAGAGCCCCGGTTGAATTCTAATGGCTAGCAACAATTAATAGGACCACTCAACGATGGATTTTCTATTTTCTACACGTAAAAGAAATTGCGTGCCGAGAAGCACATACAAGAAATGCAATTATGGACGACTAGCAACAGCCAACGGGAATTTACTATAGTGACTATTTAAATACGATAATTTTCAATCATACTCATCTTATACGTTTTCAATTTACGCAATAACTTTAGGTAATACCTAATTTTAGCAACCATAACCTTTTATGTTTGATTTCCTTACGGTGAAACTAACATGGAATGCACCTTACTAAGCCATTTTAGGCGACGTAACAAACAAGTTCCATTCAGGTCGGGTGTGACCGCTCACGACTCACCCAGAATTTCACGACAGTAAACATTTTAAAATTTCTCTTTTCGCATCTCATTATCTCGTTTTCACTCAGCCGGACTCAGGACACGTAAATTTCGCAACCGATTCGTCATTCAGTGAGAGTAAAGTAAACTTAATATTGCTTTCTATGGCTCTTGTTGGAGTAAGCGTCTAGTACGTCAAGGTCGTTCCCGGTTGTAGGGAGCAAGGTCATAGAAAGTGTCAAGGCTATATATGAAATCGGGTAGGTTCATCGCCCCTACTCCGGATGAGAAAGTAAGCGGTCGTCGGACGCGATGTTCGATGCCGTCCCCTTAACACACATCTACAACGGACTTGTTTCTACCGGCACCACTATTTGTAGCTCTTTCGATTGCTGAATGTACGTGAGCATCAAATTACAATTGTCGACAACACAATCGCTAAATGAAATCTCTCTCGTAGAGTTCTTTTTGATTGCAACAATCAGTACAGGATACAGGAAGGAGGATATAGTTGGGTTGTGCGTTATATTACATAGATAAATCGGTCAAAAAGCTAGTAACTACTATTTACGTTATACATAAATAAGACGATATAAATATTATGCTTGTATATAAAGAAAATTAGTAGATATAATTAAAGATATATTGTTATTTATTACTTGTATGTATGAATATTTAGGTATATAAATAAATTGACTAGTATTCATAAATTTAATAAACAAAACAATTAAATTAATTACTAGATAATGTCACTTTCCACTGACAAGCAAATGAGTCAACTAGAATTCTGACCGACTTCTCTATCAAGAACATCCGGTGTCCAGTCTAACGCACAACGTGTTCGAGAGGTGAGTTAATAAAGTTGACACAAGAATAAGAACAACAGATTTATTTCATATAAATTGCCACGAAACTAATGTGACATGATCTAGACATTAATTTAACTTTGACTTTATGCATCATACTTACACAGTCACACATCATGCACACTCACTTAATAAATAAAATAAATTAAATAGAATAAATAAATAGTCAATAAATAACTAAAGCTAAAGGATGGGACCGTGGGGAACTCTCAGGTGTATGAGAGGGCATGGCGCTTCCGATACTTCGGTGCCGCTAAATTCACTATCTGAATTTTTTGTGATCCGCTACGACCACGTGGGATGTCGCTTTAGTTTTCTTTACTTTACCGATGTGGTTAACTTTTTTGCCGCTTTTTTTCATGTGCGCCGAAAACTTCGCATTCAACTTTTTGGACTCACGTGAGTGCTTTGAGATGTTCCTGCCGAGGGCGTCGGTTATGTCATCTTCCTCGTCGTCGTCATCATCTTCTTCTTCGTCATCATCATCATCATCCTCAGGGTCGAGAGCATCGGTGATGTCATCCTCCTCCTCATCATCATCATCCTCGGCGTCACTTTCGGGTGCTACCTCGGCGCTGGCTTGGCTTTCGACTTCGGCACTCGCGGGTTCCTTTTGTCCTGCTTCGAGTTCTTCGCCTTCTGCGGCAACCTCCCCTTCTGCGGATTCGGTTTCTTCGGCAAGTGTGGACACTTCCTCAGCCGCGGCAG